GTTGAGGTACATTCCTTCCATACCTAATTTGTTGAGAGCTTGTATCTTGAACAGATGTTAAACTTTGTCAAATGTTTTTTTGACACCTGTGGAGATGATCATATGGTTTTTGTCCTTCATTCTGTTACTGTGGTATATCACATTTTTAGATTTACATATGTTGAACCATCCTTGCATCCCAGGGATAAATCCCACTTGATCATGATTTATGATCCTTTAAATGTGTTATTGAATTTGTTTTGTAAGTACTTTGTTGAGAATTTTTGCATCTGTGTTCATCAGGGAAACTGGCCTGTAATTTTCTTTTCTTATATTGTCTTTGCCTGGCTTGATATCAGGGTAATGCTGGCCTTGTAAACTGAGTTGGGAAGTATTCCCTCCTATTCAGTTTTCAGGAAAAGTTTGAGGATTTATATTAATTCTTTAAATGCTTAGTAGAACTCAGTAGGGAAGCCATCAGTTACTTGGATTTTCTTTGATGGGAGACTTTTTACTACTGATTCAATTTTCGTTCTCATTATTGATTTGTTGACATTTTCTTTTTTTTTTTCTTCTTTACTGTTCAGCCTTGATATGTTGTATGTGTCTAGGAATTGATTTACTTCTTCTAGGTTATCCAATTTGTTAGTGTATAATTATTCACAGTGGTCTTTTATGATCTTTTGAATTTCTGTGATATCAATTGTAATATCACCCCTTTGAGTCTTTTTTTCTTAGTCTAGCTAAGGGTTTATAAATACTATCTTTTCTATTGTTTTTCTAGTATCTACTTCATTTCTGTTCTGATTTTTATTATTTCCTCCTTCTACTAACTTTGAGTCTAATTTGTTCTTCTTTTTATACTTTCCTGAGATGTCATTAATTGAGATCTTTCTTCTTTTTTGATGTAGGCATTTATTGCTATAACCTTCCCTCTTAGAACTGCTTTTTGCTGCATGGTATGTTTATGTCCAATTTCATTTGAAAATTATATATATATATATATTTGAGACTGGGTCTTGCTCTGTCACCCAGGCTGGAGTACAGTGACATGAATATGGCTCACTGTAGCCTCAACCTCCTGGGCTCAAGTAATCCTCCCAACTCAGCCACCTAAATAGCTGGGACCATAGGCACACACCACCAGGCCTGGCTAATTTTATTTTTTGTAGAGTTGGGTGTATGCCCGTATCAGCCATATTGGCCTGATATGCTCTGTTGCCATGTTGCTCAGACTGGTCTCGAACTCCTGAGCTCAAGCAATACTCCTGTCTTGGCTTCCCAAAGTGCTGGGATTACAGGTGTGAGCCATTGTGTCTGGCGGAAGGTAAATTCCCTTAATTTCTGTTATTAATTGGGTGTTCAGGAGCATGTTATTTCCAGGTATTTGTCGATTTTCCAAAACTGAGCTTTTTTTTTTTTTTTTTTTTTTTTTTTTTTTTTTTTGGAGACAGGGTCCCACTACATTGCCCAGGCTTATCTTGAATTCTGGGCTCAAGTGATCCTCCCACCTCAACCTTCCAAAGTGCTGGGATTACAGGCATGAGCCACTGTGCCTGGCCAGAAGTTAAGAGCACTAGTTGAAGACAGTATTTTATTTACTTTTGGCTTTGGGATGATTTTTTTTCCTTCAACTTTTAAGTTCAGGGATACATGTGAAGGATGTGCAGGTTTGTTATATAGGTACATGTGTGCCATGGTGGTTTCTGCAGATCATCCCATCACCTACGTATTTTGCCCAGCATCCATTAGCTATTCTTTCTGATGCTCTCCTTCCCCCACCATCACCAATAGGACCCAGTGTGTGTTGTTCCCTGCCATGTGTCCATGTGTTCTCATCTATCAGCTCCCACTTACAAGTTAGAACATGTAGTGTTTGGTTTTCTGTTCCTTTGTTAGTTTGCTGAGGACAATGGCTTCCGACTCCATCCATGGCTCTGCAAAGGACATAATCTCATTCTTTCTTATGGTTGCATAGTATGCCATGGTGTATATGTACATTTTCTTTATCCAGTCTATCATTGATGGACATTTAGGTTGATTCCATGTCTTTGCTATTGTGAATAGTGCTGTAATGAACACACACATGCATTTATCTTTATAATAAAATGATTTATATTCCTTTGGGTATATGCCCAGTAATGGGATTTCTGGGTCAAATGGGATTTCTGCCTCTAGGTCTTTGAGGAATCATTACTCTGTCTTCCACAATGGTTGAACTAATTAAACTCCTACCAAGAGTGTGAAAGCATTCATTTTTCTTCACAACTTTACCAGCATCTGTTTTTTGACGTTTTAATAGTAGCCATTCTGACTGGCATGAAATAGTATCTCACTGTGATTTTGATTTGCATTTCTCTAATGATCAGTGATGCTGACCTTTTTTTCATGTTTGTTGGCTGCATGTGTGTCTTCTTTCGAGAAGTGTCTTTTCGTGTCCTTTGCCCACTTTTTAATGGGAGTTTTTCTTATAAATTTAACTTCCTTGTAGACTCTGGATATTAGTCTTTTGTCAGATGGATAAATTGCAAAATTTTTCTCCCATTCTGTAGGGTGTCTGTTTACTCTGATGATAGTTTATTTTGCTGTGCAGAAGCTGTTGGATCCCATTTGTCAATTTTTGCTTTAGTCGCAATTGTTTTTGGCATTTTTGTCATGAAATCTTTGCCCCTGCCTGTGTCCTGAGTGGTTGTTTTGGGTTTTACGTTTAAGTCTTTGATTGATTTTGAGTTAATTTTTGTATATGGTGTAAGGAAAGGGTCCAGTAAAACTGGGTAACTTCTTAACAGGTTTACCTTATTTCTTAAAGTTTACCTTTCATCTGAAATAAAATTGTAAAATAGTAATTATTAAAATGTATATTAGTCAAGTAAGGCTTAAGATGGCCAACATATGAAATGTAGTGGGTTTTGTGTATGTATACAATTATAAAAATATATATTACCATACAGCTGTACGGTAATAATTTAGCCAGTGTATTAAAAGCTGAAATAAATGTAAAAGACCTCCCCTTTTCCTACAACCAATGGTATCCATTAAAGTCACCATTAAGAATTTCTTATATATCTACTCTAATATATTCCAAGTACATATATGTAAGCATCTGCTGCCTCACCTCACCCCCACATGTTATCTACTATTCTTGGTGTTTTTCACTTAGCAATATACCTTGAACTTCATTCCAAAAAGCTAATATACTTCTTTTGTTGTTTTAAATAGCTGTATCATACTCTTGAACTCTATTCCCCCTTTAATAGATGTTTAGATTGTTTTGACATTTTAGCTACTAGAAACAACTTTACAATAAACATCTTTGGACATTTACCTCTGTATATCCCACAGGCTATTTGCCTATAAGTGCCCTTTTCAAATTAAATGGAATACGAAGTTAATAGTTTGGAAAAAGGCTGCCAATATGCTCTCCAAAACTCTGTCAATGTGCTATTGTTTTCTGAAATGCAGTTGTAAGAAAACATATATTTAGTTTATAACTTTGGAAACATCAAGTAACATTAAAAATCCTAAGAAATCGACTGGGCGCGGTGGCTCACGCCTGTAATCCCAGCGCTTTGGGAGGCCGAGGTGAGCGGATCACGAGGTCAGGAGATCGAGACCATCCTGGCTAACACGGTGAAACCCCGTCTCTACTAAAAATACAAAAAAATTAGCTGGGCGTGGTGGCGGGTGCCTGTAGTCCCAGCTTCTAGAGAGGCTGAGGCAGGAGAATGGGGTGAACCCGGGAGGCGGCAGAGCTTGCAGTGAGCGGAGAATGTGCCACTGCACTCCAGCCTTGGCGACAGAGCAAGATTCCGTCTCCAAAAAAAAAAAAAAAAAAAAAAATCCTAAGAAATCATCTGCCATTAACTCCATTAGCTATTTTTAATTATTTTCATAACTAAAAATAGAGTATGAGTTTTGCAGACAGACAGACATAAGTTCAAGCCCCAGATTTGGCACTTAGGACTGGCATAACTTTAAGATATAGGGTCTTACTCTGTTGCTCAGGCTGGAGTGCAGTGGCATGATAGCTCACTTTAGCCTTGACCTCCTGAGGTGAAGTGATCCTCCTGTCTCAGCCTTCTGAGTAGCTGACTACACATGAATGCCACTATGCCAGGCTAATTTATTTATTTTTAAAATTATTTATTTATATATTTTTAGAGATGGAGTCTTGCTATGTTGCTCAAGCTGGTCTCGAACTCCTGGCTTCAAGTGATTCTCCCACCTCAGTCTTCTGCATAGCTGGGATTATAAGCATGAGCCACAGTGCATGACCTGTGTGATCTTGAGCAGACTATTTAATCATTTTCAGCCTTGATTTTTGTCTTTTCTTTGCAAAATGGGTAAAATAATAGTTCCTGCTAATAGGGTTATTATGAGGGTTAGTATACAAAGTGTTTTTTGAATAGCCAAACAAAGCATGTGTTTGTTTAACTCATAATGTATGACCTAAATGTTTAACAATAAAAGCATGTATCTGCTTATAGTTCAAAAAAACAACTGAATATTACAATCCCTGTGAATGAACTGATTTTTATTTTCTCTGAGTCTTAATTCCTAAGAATATGAAATCTTCACCTGAACTCCTCATAATCAGGAAGTGTTGATTTCTGGGCAGAGATTACTATGAAATGCAATTCATTCAGGCTCAAAGTACCTTAGTAAATTATAAAGTAGTAATTAAAAGAAGAGAACTTTAATAATGATGGGACAGGGGTTTAAGTTTGTAAGACTGCAGTGTTATCGTGTACTTCTCTACCTATGATAAAACAATTTCTAAGACAACATTTTAATAATGTTGGCTGGTGATTTATAAACAATATTAACTTGAGAATGGCTATAAAAAACAAATATAAAACTTCAATGTTGCAGCTGATTTCAAGCATTCCTGTTAACAGATTCTAAGTACCAAGATTTCCCAGAAGTATGATCACCTCAAATCTTCTCTATATATAGGAAATTGAAACATGCCCAATTTGAGCCATCAAAAGACATTTAAAATAGACACCACAAAATGTATCTATAGTTTAAAGGTCAAATTTATTAGGAGATTAAGCGATGTATATGGACTATAAATACTGCACAGCTGACTTTATTCACAGTCAAGCACAGATATAGTCAGTGCCAACCTATTTTGTGGATACTCTTGTTCTTTTGTTCCAAGAAAAGTTTGCACCATAAGACTTGGACTTGGGTTTTGGAACCTTCCTCTCTTCAACGTCATAGCTCCATCCTAGGAGGAAAAAACAAAGACAAATCCACAGAAACAGAATTAAAGAGGATACCTGAAAAGCACAGCAAGCGGAGGCTAGCTTTTGTAACTTAATGTTCACTTATCATCAAGAGTATATGTCAACACATCTGAGATATACTTACTATTTGTTCCCTTATAATCCTCTGTGAGAAAAGGGTCCAAAAGATTGCCTACAGATTATTTACCATATCTCAAGTTAAAGATGTAAACTATGATTCAGTTTCTCCTTGTTCAATTACTGATATCTATGTATTACATTAAAATTTCCATTGCTCTATGTGGTTTAACAAAGGACTTTAAAAACAGTTGCAATGAAGAGCGATGAACAACATAACCAACCTCACTATTCTTCCAAAAATTGGTTTCTTTACAAGAGTTAGTTTAGAACTCTTCCAAAGGGATATAGAAAAATATGTACATGTGTGTGGGTGCGTGTGTGTACTACATAGTTGAAGTGGACCATGAGAGTTTACTTGGTTCAACCTCCTGGACTTGGACAGGCTACTGATTAAACTCAAAAAGATTTTCAACATTTATTTCAAGGGCTATCTCACTAATTGGACTCACATGCGAGTACCCGATAAACGGTGCAAATTGTTAGGCCTGACCAAAGGCCCACTAGATCAGAATCTCGGGTAGGGACCCAGGAAACTACACTTTATCAATTCCAGGAGATTTTTATGCATACAAAAGTAAGGGCCACTAATCAAAGTTGTCTATTCTCTTCTGAGTATTTATATTTTCCATCCAAAGTCTTTTCAGCATTTTGTAATTTTGAAAACTGGGTATATGTATGTCTACATTTTCTGTACTAAGTTCTATTCTGTAGTTCTCCTAAAACATGGGAAACAAATCAACATCCTCCTCCTTAAAAATATAATTAAGTCATTCTTTTATTCCCTAAGCTAGGCAACTCCTGTAACATTCACTTTTCTTCATAAAATCCATTTTCCCACACCTGTAATTTATTCTTCTCTTAGGATTTTATTCAAAGAACTCATCTTGAAACCTCTAATTCATGGCTGTATCATGCAGTCACGTATAAAACGTCCAAAATGTGATTATTATATGGTCTAATTAAGTGAGCTTCTTGATCTTGGTGAGTATAGTACCTTCTGCCACAAAGCTTACATTTCAATAGTCCCTTAGTTAGTACTCAGTTTTACCACAAAAGTTAAGCCTATGAAACTCAACTCATCAAAGTATACTACTGCTACTGTACACAAAGGAAAGTAACAACATTTAACAGAGTATTTTAATTTAAACTTTTAATCTACTTTATCCATAACAGAATATTACATTCCCAACTGCTGGAACTCCATCTCCAAAGAAAGTCCAATAACTATAAGGAAATGGGGAAGCAGGAAAGCAAATGAAACATCAGAATCCAGGAGAGAAAATATTAATTTACTTGCTCAACATAATCTTATTTTCACAGAGTAGAAAATATGTTTTGAGAACTTTCTTATCCATTAAAAAAAAGTTACAAAGCTATAGCTTACTTTAAGAGAATCTGGACTTATAAAGTATGTACGTAACAAGTAGTTATCTCCATTTCAAAAAATTTACTAAAGGGCATAAGAAAAGTTTATATTTCATAAGGTTGTCATGAGGATTAAAGTACACGTCTTGTACTTCATATGGATGTCATAATTCATGTAAAGTGCTTAGAAAGCACCCCCACTTAACATTTATTGAGTTCTATGAGAAAGAACCTTTATATGAAGTAATATTATCCCCCTTGTACAGCTGAGTAAACTGAGGCTCAGAGAGGTTAGGTAACTAGCGTAAGGTCACTCAGCCAAGAAGGGACAGAATCAGGATTTAAACACAGCTGGCCAGATTTTGGAGGCTACGCCTTACCTATTATGCTACACTGTTTCTTGTGGTTTATAGTAGGCACTCAATAAATGTTAAGTATTATCTGGTCCTCAAATTTGATTCACAACTTCCTAGCACCATGTCTCTATATAAATTTCCATTACATTAGAGCCCACTAAATTTGAATTTGTGATGTTTTGGGTATAGCTAGCTATAATCTAACCTAGTTATTAACTACAGAAACGGGTTTTGGTAAGCAAATTAATACTGTGATCTGAGCATAACAACTTTAAAATTATAAACTTCTTAAGCACTTCCCATATTAACCAGCAAACGATGCTGATAATTACAAAAAATATTCAATTTAATAAAGGAGGTATAACAATATTTACCAAGCATTGCCATTCATTTGATAAATATTATTGATTGCCAACTCCATGTCAGAGACTGTTTTTAGACAGTGGAGGCAGACTAGTGAATAAAACAAAATTTTCCTGAACTTCTTGAAGTTAGTAGGGGAAGAAAAGTTAGTAAGTATATAGTATATTAGGTGCTAATACAGTAATACCTAAATTAAAAATGTGTATTACATCCTAGTAAGTACTAAGGAGAAAACATTTTAGATGGGGTATACAGCGGAGCCCTCCCTCCCTGAGAAGTGGGCAGAGAACAGTAACTGCAAAGGCCCTGAGGCAAGAGCATTCCTGGTGCACTAGGTAGTATGTTCTAGTCCCCATGCTGAGTGCTTGAAATGTATTTTTATTGAAATTTTATGTATGGAGTTTATAGGTTGCATGGCTATAAGGAAGGCATTGTATATATCTTAATTTTACATTAACTTAAAAAAATATAGAGAAAATAAACAGCCTAAGGTCACAGGGCTAATAAGTGGCAAAACCAGGATTTTAACCCAGATGGACTTTAACACCTAACTACTTTATTAATAAAACTACATTTCTTTTATTTTCTCTTTTTTTTTTGAGACGGAGTCTCGCTTTGTTGCCCAGGCTGGAGTGCAGTGGCGCGATCTCAGCTCACTGCAAGCTCCGCCTCCCGGGTTCACGCCATTCTCCCGCCTCAGCCTCCCGAGTAGCTGGGACTATAGGCACCCGCCTGGCTAAGTTTTTGTATTTTTAGTAGAGATGGGGTTTCACCATGTTAGCCAGGATGGTCTTGATCTACTGACCTTGTGATCTGCCCACCTCGGCCTCCCAAAGTGCTGGGATTACAGGTGTGAGCCACCACGCTCGGCCTAAAACTGCATTTCTTTAAAAATATTCTGCAATTACAAGTTTTATCTATTTCATTCATTTCCTTTTATTTGAAAAAATATGTTGAAAAGACTTTTAAGAATCCCTGGGAAATCTATGTTCCACATATGCTCTCCCACAATTGTGAGGAAGGAAATGGTTTCTAGTGTAGATTCTGTATTTGGTTATAATGACAGCTGGAAAATTAACCCAAGACCTCCATAATCTTTTCTTGCCAAATGATAGGTAAGAAACCTAAATCTCTCTCCTCTTACTACCTCCCAACACACACTCACCAGGTCAATAAAGACATTAGGAAAGAAACTGCAGAAATGAGAAAGCACTCAAATATCTAGGAACCAGTAATATACACACAAACACAAACCTGATAGTTACTTTCTCATTCACTCAATTATCCTTTCAGCCACCAGGGAGAATTCTCTGTACTACATCAGATCTCAGACACAGATCTAATATCTATTCTGGTTATGGAGTTTCAAAATGTGGTCAGGGTCACTGCAATGTGAGAAGAATGAAGTTTTATACACATAAAAGAACAACTGGTTTGGGTTTTTTCCTGGTAACTAAGGAGTGAGCTGGCTCCTGGGAATTGTGAGCCAGATTACAGTTGCCAGATTATTGTTGATAACAACAATAAATAGAAGTATCATGACAGGGATTGGAATGTGGATGGGCAAAGCACCCTGTGAAAAACAAACAAAAATACACACAGAAGAAGCCTGCATTTGCTAATAAGATCCATCTCTATATAATTACCACTGACCACTCATGATTGTTAGGATGTGTAGGGCAAAACATTTATTATCTTCCCATTTCTCTGTGATAAACAACTTTGTTTCCAAAGTTGCACATGCAACTGTGCTTCCCTAAATGCAAAGGAGTATATGAGGAAGTCCAATGACAATTCACAATAGAGACTAAAACTAAAGAAAGAATCCACGGACATCTTTGGATTTTCTATTCATTATTCAGAAAACTTTTCTACTATGTAGGGCTGTCATCATAATAAACATTTGCTGTTTTTTGAGATACTGTTAAGAATCTGATCACATTTCCAAGCATCCTCCTCCTTACAGTGCCTGGATGAACAAATTTACTGGTCCCACTATACTCGAATATAAAGGTTACCTGAGCAAACAGTGAAGTTGAGCTAAAAAGGACAACACTTGAAAGGACATTAAGCATGTGTGCTTAAGAATAGGTAAGTTACACAAATTATACTCATCTTTCCTACTTCGTATTTGAAACTTGTTGCTAAAAAGAAAGAATATATTTTGCAAGAAATAAAATATAGATATTAAATGTTTAAATTTCTATAACAGTGTCCTTTTTAACCCTAAAATAGATAAATATATATATATATTTTCTTTTTTTTAAAGAAAGAGCCCAAACTTGTTTTTCTGAATGGGAACATGGAAGTGAAAATACTTGCACTCTCCGAAGAATGCTTATATGCTTATATAAAATGAAGGTATAGTCTACAATCATAATGGTCCCATATGTTGTCCTATAGGGTACTGAAAACCAGCCCCTTGCTCTTCCCAGCTGTGCAACAGAAGAAGATCAAAGCAATGGAGTCCAAGGCAGCTGCCCCAGGGGTGGGTAAAGCTCCCAGTGCTGCCGTCACTTCCTAGAGGACAGTAGCCATATGGCACAGATTTGCCACAAACCCAACTACCAGCACCTAAATGATGAGAAGCTGACTCCCTTTGCTGTTTCACACACTGAAATGCTTTCACAAAAATAGCTTGAACTTTAAGCCCTAGTATCACTTCCCTTTGGAAAATGCTGTAGTAAACTTAAAATGTGATCTCTAACATCCCATGCCCAATTTTTTTTTCTGAAATATGCCAGTTTATTTTGTAGATCTCCACATTGTGGTTGGAA